ACCTGCCCTCCCCAGCTTCCCAAAGCTATTTTTGTCCACTTCATAGCTCTTGCATGCACAAGTTTCATTCATCAGTCTCTATTCTTAGTCCTGCAATACTGAAGATTGTGTGCCAAGTCTTTGTTCACTACAAGTGCTCCTAGACTCTTTCTATGTGTCAGACGCCCCAAAACACCAATTCAAACACTTAATAGAATACAACAGAAGAACAATTCTTATAGTTGTACATACTTCTATGCTGAAATGATTGTCTGCTTGCTATTTCAAGGTGCATTTAAAGTCATAGAATGATCCACCTGAAAGGTGGATGATAACAATCTGTCTAGAAAAAAAACACAACTGTTATTTGGCCTATAGATGAACAAATACAGTAAATCTCTTGGCCAACAATGAAATCAGAAATCAGTTACGTTTATCATGTTTGATCAGCAACACGTTTTTATTGTGGGTCAGCCTCCCTCACCCTGTTTGCACTGCTCACAATTGTTTGAACAACAATAACAACAAACACATTTCATGCTGTGTTTAGGAAACTAATTACGGAAACCTCGGCCGTTCCGGTAAAAGGCAGGGACAACTTTAGCTATTCATAGCCTTCCTCTTCTGAGCTCACAGCAATGAACTGGCAGTCCCGAGGGGGGGCTGTGCAATCTGAGATAGGTCTAATGCTTCCCACCACAGCACCGGGACCATACAACCAAGACAGGGAGAAGACTTACAAAAGGGGACCAGTGACTTTTTCCTCAAGGTCAAAGCAGTTGGTTTTCACTGAGACAGATCAAGTATGTGAGCCTCCCGAAAAATATGTTCTCATCTGTTATGTAGTGCATAGAGGAGATTTGGAAGTGCAGTCTGCGTAGCTGAATCTTAATTTGTCACAGTTTAAGATTAGTTAGAGACCTCATGTGGGCATTAAAAAGGCCTATCGGCACCATTTAAAGCTACATTAGCTGAGATTATGTGCAATTCAAAAGACAAAAATAAACTTCTGCTCAGTAAGATGTTTGACCAGTAGTGAACCTGTGACCTCTTGTGCCTGATAGTGAACCACCAAATGTACCTAGTCTGTAAATAAAGAGAATAAAAGCTTTAAATTAAGGATTAGCCTGGAAAAATGTACGCCAAATTTCCCTCCTTTGTGTTATTCACAATAAAATGTTTAGAAAAAAAGACCCCTTTTGTATTTATGATAGACTACTTTGAGAAATGTATGTAACGGCATGATGATCATATGGGCTTAAATCACAATGCCCAGAGTTATGTGACAGGAAGGAAATGTGTGTTCAACTATAATAATGTTTTTACTGCCTTGTGATGCGCTGTAGTTTATATACTTCTTTATGACTTGCAGAATATGTTATTTACTTGGTCTTACAAAGCTCACTGCCACTACAGATGTACACACAGTTTGTGCCCTTGCATAGTACTTGTTGTTTTTACTACTTGTCTTTACAGCCTCACATGTATTGATGGAAGTCATTGATACAAAAGAGCCTTAAGGATGGAACTGCTTTGCATGCTACCTACTCAGCCCACTACCTCTTGGATAGGACAAATCCATGAGTCACTCATTCCACTTACCTTTATTTACATAAGTCTTTCTCGCCACTTGAACGTTTAGTCAGAAGAATAAAATTCGTCTGTTGCTTTTGAGTGCTTTAAGTTGTGTTTGTTTGAGCGTTAGTCTTTGTTTCAGAATAGATTTAGATGTTATTAAAGACTAAAATACCAAAGCAAAGAGGATACAATGCCCTTTTTGTTTTCCATTGAATCACAGAGGTTATATCTCAGCTGTTTTGATCCTGATCAACTAAAGAGGCTGGACTCAGTGGGCATTCAACACATGATGTGTAGAAGGTTTGTCTTCCAAAAGCCTGTTTTGTTTTGAAAAACACAGTTGCTAGTAAATGCCTGGCATGTGCGTTTAAAGATGTGATGCCTGTGTAAATATAGAAACATGACTTGCAAATCTAATACTAGTAATACATATTGTTTGGACAAGAAGAAAGATGGGTTTTAGTAGGATCATACTTAAGTATTCACAGCGTGTATGTCAGTAGAGCAAGCAGACTGTCCTCCTTCTCCAGTTTTATAAGGAATAAACAGACTGTGATCAGACCTTAGATGCAACAATTTAGTCAATTCGGCGACATCTTGTGTCTGAGGGGCTTTGTTACTGTTTAAAATTCATTGACGTTGACAACTGAGATTTGTTTCCTGTTTGGTAGCTTTGCCAGATGTCTGAAAGAGTCAAGTCAGTTATGTTCATAGAGGCTCATCACAAATTTGCTTTACAGTCTGTACAACATACACCAACCACTCTCTATCTGTAGACCCTTTATACAGATAAAGAAAAGTCCACAAACAATCCTGGCTGTAAGATTGTAATACCATTTGGGTTTTTAAGCTGCCTTGTGACTCTTTGGAGAGGTTTGCATGTTTTGTTTTTTTAATCCAAATTTGTTTTATTTATCTGTCCAGCCAAATCTGAACAAACCGACAGTATTGTTTATGGAACTCAACATATCCACAGGCACCTGGTAGCTTCACATTCTTATACCCATGATAGTAATTTAGCAACCACAGCGGTACAATTCAACACCACATTGTTACAGTTCAGCAGACACATTGCAAACAAAAAAGCCTGCCCATGACCTCTTAAAGCTTTCAACTTCATTGCTGACCCTAGCTAACGTGTTCGTATGACACAATTTCAAACATAGATTCCTTCCATTTTTCAAACTCTGGAGGTGGTGAACTTTTCCAGAATTTAAGGATCACTCGAGCAGCTGTGACGACCCCTACATTTATCACAACAAGGTCATATTTTGGTACATTTGGTATTTCTGTTTGGTCCCCCATAAGGCACAACCTTGGTGATTTCGGTAGTGACATACCCAACCACTTCCTCCCTGTGTGATCCACAACTTTTTCCCAAAATGGGTCAACCAGTTTACCTTCCCAGATTGCATGTAGAGATGTTCCTGTTTCTGTCTCATATTTCCAACATAAATTCCCAGACATAAAGACCCATCCTGTACAGCTTCGAAGGAGTAAAGTAAATCCTAAATTTCCCCCTTGCTTCCTTTATATATCTCCCAGAATTTGATAGTATTTTCCAACCATTCCTCATTGCTTAATTCACACCTTGTGTCCTTCTGCTGAATGATCCTCAGATTTTTACAAATATCTTTTGATAACCCACTAAAGATTTTGTAGAATAGCCACCTTGTCTTGTGTGCTATACCAGGTAACTCCAAAAAACGGTAATACTGGGTTCTTATCTTGAATGAATTGGCCTTTAGTGTTACAGCTTCTGATTTGTAAATACTTTCAAAAATTACCTTCGTAGTCCAGATCGTATTTTTCCATGAGTTCCATCTCCATCTCCGTCTAAGTACAGGTCACATATCTTGTGAATCCCTTGTGCATGTAAAGAGGATGCATTTTCAGATTCTGGCAGGTGTAATGGAATATGACACGATGCAATGAATCACTGCTCGCATTAGAACAACCTGTTCAATTTTTAGTGGCTTCTAGAAATAATGAAAAGTATAAAAAGATTATAGATTGGAGCTTAATTTGGGAAACAACACGGGTAAAGATATGGACATGAGGGAGGCATGAAGTGGTGACTTTTACAGGGTCTTTTATGTAGGGAGCCCTTTGGTTTATTTCTAATGACATTGACTTGCAGCAACTGTGATAATGGCGCTGTTGACATTCATGCAAAATGGGGAACACTGATAATTTAACTATAGTCAGTAAATGTCAGCTAAACAAGTCAGTCAGCCTTTTACCATTTGAATAGTGTCTTGTTCTTGTGTAGTGAAAGCCTGTTGCCTGCTGATACTGATCTTATTGAATTGCTCTGGTATTGGCCAGATGTGCCCAGTCCACATTTAGTTATGCAATTGCAGCAACACAATTTTCTAAATTGTATAAACAGTTTAATAAAGTTTACACAAGCCTGAAGAAAAGTTTGATTTATGAACATCTCCATTCCCAGTTAAGAAGTTATATTTACAGGAGCAGGAGTTGTTGTAGCAATGGTACACAATAGGTGGTAGTTTGGGTATCTGACTTGGTATGTTGAGAGAAAAAGCAGAATCAGTGCATCCCTAGTTTTTGCAATAATGTGTGCAGTCAGCTGCGTGTTGGTTCAGGGACACATGGATTCAAAGTAAATAAACTTCCATCTTGAGATAGTTGCTGCTTTGATGGTGACAGATTAACACTGTGTATTGGGTTGGATTGCTGTCTGCATTGCTGAATCTGTGACACAGCGTCAGAGGGAGAAGCTGCCTCATTGTAGATAAAGCTCTGGTGCCTATCCTTCAATTCCACATATGGTTTGAGATGTTACGGAAGCACGCTATGTGACTTGTGTGTTTATTCAGTAGGTTTGCCATCATAATCCAGCGAATGCATAGCAGCAACCCGGCGGATTTAGAAGATAAACAACGAATCTTTAATTTTTCCGAAGCTTTTAGACTACTCAAATCTTAAGGACAGTTGTTGGACTAGCTTCTGGTACATTTAAGCCATGTTGTGCTTTCGTATTTGACAGATTGGACTTTGTTTATTGGCTTTGTTGGAAGCTGGAACACTAGTAGCTCTCAAGGCTTTTCTGCCCATCCGTCCGCATGTGAGGCACCAGTATCCAACGCTGTGTGATGTGAAGCCAAACACAATCACTCCCACCTTTTTTCCTTGTCTGCTGCTGAGCAGCAATAGTGTGGCTCCAAGAGCAAATGTTTAATGTCCATTATTGTAATTCAGAGGCAGGAATAGAACATGAAGAGGGATATTCACACTTTCTTTTGGAGGAAATAAGCAATTAAGCATGCGTTTATGTGTATGGACTGATATCCAATAATCTTTTTAGCAGTTTTTTTTTGCCTCACAAACACAGGCTGAGTGTGGACACAAGAAAACAATTAACATATTTTAACCATCTGTGTCTTTTGTCCTGTTTTTTTTTGTGCGTCTCTTTGCAGAATGCCAAGCCCTTCTCCTCCTCAGACAGCCTAGCGAAGGTCCAGGAGGTAGCAAGCTGGCTTTTGGAAATGAACCAGGATCTGCTGTCGGGGGGCAGCAGCAGCAGGCGGACTCGGGGGCCGGGGGGTCCGGCAGTGCGAGGTAACGCCTCCTCCACGGCCCGGGCACCCCAGCAGGCAGCAGAGGAGGGTGATGAGGATGAGCACATGAACCGGGTAGTAGAGGAGGAAGAGCAGCTGCAGCAGAGGGTAAGGCTGACTGACATTCAACAAATGATACTGAGTCACATAAAAGGATTTGATATATAAACCCATAGGTTTAAAGGGGATTAGCAGATTGTAAACTGAGGTGTAAACATGCGTAGATTAAATCAGGTATTGTAGCTGTGGAAATTTGCTTTAGACGTGCACTGTAACCAAGTAGGAACTTGAAAGCAAATATACGGTGCAAGCAGAAGTGCAACAGATTACATTTGGCATCAGCCCTTTCCTCTAAGCTATTGTATTGTTTTGTCTGGCACTTCACAGCCTGAGGCGTCGCAGGTTGATGGCGAGAGAGAACAAGCATGGGCGCCAAGTGAATCGGGAGCCAGCAATGGCCCTCGGGGAGAGGAGGAAGGGGAAGAAGACGAGGAGGGCCCTCCAAACGAAGTGAACGGAGGAGAGAAGGGAGCCCGATGGATGTGGGGGGCAGAGCAGAGGCGACTGCGAGGCCAGCCGCTGGGCGAGGAGGACGAGGAGGAGGAGGAAGAGGAAGAGAACAACAACAGCAGCAGTCACCAAGAGGAGGAGGAGGCGGAGGAGAGGACAGAGGGAGGGGAGGAGCAGGGGAGGGAGGAAGAGGAGAGGGAAGAGGGCGAGGAGGAAGAGGAGGAGGATGAGGATGAGGAGGAGATGGACCAAGACAGTGATGACTTTGAACATTCTGTGGAGAGTGGGAGGGAGGAAGAAGAGGAGGAGGAAGGAGAAGGGGAGGAAGGGCTGCGGTCTCCCTCTCTCAGGAACAATGTGTCTGCCCCCAATAACAACCTGGACTCGGGTTGTACACACCAAAGCTCTTCCAACAAGAAGGTAAGCACAGCTGTTGTTTGTTGAACAGTTTTCACTGGAAGTATTGTACCTCCTCCTGAAGAAACAGCTTCTATGTAAACAGTGAGCTCTGAGCTCTCCTCCAGAGTTAACACAGACACTGCTTCTGGAGAAGAATCAGCTGTTTACATACTATGGGCACCACAAACAAAATTCCATTCACTTCTGTTGTATTAGGCTGAAGGCAGACACTGATACCTCAACACTTGATCAAATAAAACATAAAGCTTGGCCAGATTCCATTAGACTTGAGGGAGACATTGTGCAGTTTGGGTGAACTGACCCTTTAGGATACTTGTGCAGCAGGCACAGCAGTTTCAGAAGATTCTCACAGGCGGTGTTTGGTTATTATCACATCACTGCTGTGAAAACTTCCCATAATGTCCTGCACTGGCAGCACATGGTTCATATTTAAAACAGCAGCTCCCTCTTTTGGCATAATTGTGTTACTGCACCACACACTCATGCAGTGTACCCTAAACACTTTTGAAACTGCATTATATATTTGAAAATGCACATACAGAAGGATGAGAAGGTAGGATTAAAAAGGACAAAGCGTGAATATGAGCTTGAGGCAGCACAGAAGACAGCACTATGATTTGGGATTAAACGTCAGCCTGGACTGATGAACTTTTTAAAGAATACTTCCCTTGCAAAATGGCCGCTGTTATATCAATTACTCACCACATGTAACCTTGAATATGTTAATAAGTCTTTGCTCTTCGTGCATGCCTTTGTGGTGAATGGAGAGGCCAAAAAGAGTGGAACATTCTTCATGAATTGAAGTCACTGGGGTACCCATTCAACAACAAAACTATATCAAAACATCATTTTACGAACTCACACAACACATGCAGTATTATCCAAGTCTCATGTATCCAGTCATATAGTCAGTACTTCCCAAACACATGCATTTTCAATGAAACGCTACAATATAAAACACTTCTGCCTATGAGTAGTGCGCCCTGAGTGTGCCTGAACATGCGAGTGCGTATGATCACTGCTTGAGAGAGTTTAAACACATGCGGGTGTCCAGGCTTGAGACTTGTCTGTGCACGAAACTATTGGTACGACATGTTTTAAATCAGAACGAGTAAGCACAAATGCATGTGTTTCGGAAGTGTTAAGCATCTGACTGGACACCTTAGACTTGGATTATACTGCAGGAGCTGTGTGAGAGTTTGTATAGGGATGCTTTGATGTAGATTTGCTGTTAAACACAGTCCCGGTAAATTCATGACGAAAGTTCCATTTTTGGATTCTTTGTTCACCATGGAGACATGCATGAAAAACAAAGTTTTCTTCTCAAATTTAGCGCTACACTCAGTGATCAATTGATATTCAAATGTCCTGATTCATTTATTCCCACTTGGTCATTTTACATTTGTTGCTGCAATTTCCGTCTCCCCCGATCGCGTCATGTTCTTTGCCAATCTTGTATCACTCATGGGCAAGTGTTGACAAAGCTACCCAAAATCCTGGATGAGTTTTTCTTGTTTTTTCTTATCATCCTGTAGATAATGGTCTCTTCCAGGCTGACAATGTCTTCCATCCACAGGTCTCAAACATTTACTAAATGGTTTGATAAGTATTCAAATGATGTGAATCATATGCCATAATCTCCACAGTCATCATATGTCAACCCAACTGAAGAGAGGAGAGTATAGACTCACATGTTAGTCACTACTGTCATCAAACTATGAAGCAAGGGAACAATAATGGAAGAACATCGTCTCATTGCCCCCGTAAAGCTTAATGAGTTGAAGAATTTAAAACCCCATCAGAAAGTGCATGATAAAGAAGATTTTTAACATTTTCTCATGTTGGTAGTAGGTGGTTACCTGGAAAGGAAACATAGCTGCAAATTGAGAAACTGGTTAAAAATCTTACTAAGACAGTTGTGGTTTTTCTATCCTGTGTTTGCTTCACTGGATGGGAAGATCCAAGCTGGAACATATCACAACATTTTGGATGGAAAGATGATGTAAAGTACATCATACTGCTGTCATCAGTACCAAAAAACATAGAGATGGTTCCTGATAAATGCTGAAAAGTGCAAAGTCTATCACCATGGTCAAAAAAAGCACCTGCAGTGTTTGGTCACAACTGCAAAAATTATCGGGAAAAACAGATTAACAGTGAGGAATCGCAAGTAAAAGTAGGGTCGTCTTTCTTTGCATCTTGTTTCACCAGTTTAATCTGGAGCTTTATTCCAGGACTAATTTGTCATGCGATTTTTGTGATAGAGAAGTTAAAGCACAGTGTGACATAATTATATCTCAACAGCCTCCTCATAAAATTATTCATCCATGTGTAGAATGCACAGAAGCTTGTTTTAGGACATGTTAAAACTCCAGGCACGTTCACGCTTCACTGATTGATCGCGGCCTCGATGAGTGACAAGTACAGAGAAGCGCTTGATGTTCAGAAGACAAGTGTAACAGATTGTCATATCTTTCCTCAGTAACAAAACTAATGTGCTCAGTGCAAAGGGCTCTGATGTAGCACAACACCAGTGTTTGGATGTTGACGGCGGTGTCTCGTCTCAGTGGTGACTGATGGCATGCTTCAGTGGCCTTCACAGCACCTGTATTTAAAGGGAGGAAATGGATTTGGCCATGACGTTTTCTAGAAGCTAGAGATGATATTCATAATTTGCAGTGTGTTTGCAATGCACTGACACAGATTCTGACAGGAGCAAACATAAATCCAAGGGATGCCATTCCTAGATATTGGAGAAGGGTCCAGTGGTGGACATGCTGTACCTTATTGACCTCCCACTCCTCGCTATACTTGTTCTCACGATCCTTCCCCTACGACGCTGTACCACGTGTCATGTCTCACCACATTTCTTCTCTCCCGTCTTTCTCTGTCTTTGGTGTTGACCAGTCACTTTGTTGCCGTGCATGGATGTATTGTAAGAACAGTGTCATTATGGCTAGCTAACGTTAGCTTAGATGCTGGTGGAGATGGGCTGTGTGTCAAACTCTTACTTACCCCCACTATACCTAAACAAAGCCAAAGTGTCCCGGATCTTGCACTTATGCATCATTTGTCTAAGTGTGTTAAACTGAAGTCCACAGTGGCTAGCTAGCATTAGCTGAGTGTGTTAAACCAGAGATATTGGATAAAGCGAGATACCCAGGCTCTGATTGGAGGGAGAGCTAACCACGCCCACTTAGGAGACAGGAAGAGTAACCGTTTTCTTAACATTGGATAAGCCTACGGTGGGGTATCTCCTTCATCCAATATCTCTGGTTAAACTGAAGTCCACAGTGGCTAGCTAGCATAAGCTAAGTGTGTTAAACTGAAGTCCACAGTGCTAACATTAGCTGAAATATCTGACGGAGAGATGTTGTAGGAGGCAATGAGGTAGGGTGCCAGATATACTTGACATTTTGCCATATTACATGTCATACCATCTTATATTTAGGCAAAAAAAGCACATAAAACATTAAAAAGCATTGGGGCTAATTTAGATTTAATGCCATCATGATAGTGTTTGTGTATCATAGCTTGTTGTGGCACATGAGCTGTTGGAGTATCAGGATCACTGCAGCAGACGATGGTTAGAGTCTATTAAGAATAAAAACCCTCCCGCCAGTACAATTCTTTGTTTCAATTAAACTGATAACTATATTGTGCATTTGTGTCATGCATATGAATTAAAATCTGCAGCATCAGCCCCTAAATCCAGTATTTGTCTGGTTTAATTTTGACCTATGTCCAAATTATAGTTTTCTTTTCTGAAATAATACCAGAGGCAGATATTTGTATAATATGTAGTGTACCAATTCTTACAATATTGTATGCGGTTGTATGGCATCATACATTCTCCTTAACACACCACAGGCAACTTAGAGGACACCGGAGATAATACAACCATTTCAACAGACAGTAATGACTAAATCAGTGACAGATTTGTCATCGGCAGTGTAGTCTCATGACAAGCACACCACTCTCCCCACGCCCTTCTGACAATAAGAAGCTGCACAGCAAGGAAGTTTTAATGATTGCTGTTGAAGAGCATGTGTCTCTCTAAACTGTCCCAGTTGTTTCCTGTATCGTATGTCATACCTGCGGTCTCAATATAGAGTGATGTTATGTGTGTGTTTGTCTGAGCCTTTGATGGAGGCATTGCCCTTGCTTATATTGGCCCTAAATATAGCAGTCAGTCTGAATTTGCTCACCATCTGACACAGCTGTCAGATAGGTTTGTCAGGGTCTTAGTCACTGCAGTGGGCCAGCTGGCTTTGATGTTGAATGTACACATTTTACTTCAGCTGTGGGTCTTGTATGCCTGGAATTAGGAGTGGTGTTGAAAGAGTGGAGTGACATTTATTGACAGCTCAAGTGAGATTCATCTGACACATTTACACTCTGTGTTTTAGGTGTAATGTGCCAGTGTAGATGATGGCCTCTAAGTGAGAGTGATGTTGGAAATGTTGGAAAACTAAAATAAAAGCTAAAAGCATCTTAAGAAACATCAGTACATGCTTTAACTTTGTTAAATTTGTCCCCTGATTCCAGTCTGTACAAATTACAAATTACACAAGGCTTTTGAGGCCACTTCTGTAGCACTTTTCTAACAGCCGAGGTTTGGAAAGTGCTTTACAGAATGTAACGACAGAAAATAGATGTGATCAGGCAAACCTAGGATAAATAAACCAGAGATAGGTGAATCAATAAAATCTAAACAGAATAGAATGAATAAAACAAGTTAAAATAGGTATATTCTACTTGTTTTGCCAACAGGGGACACTTTTGCAGAATGGCAGGAGATCAGGGGCCAGTTTATAAACGAACAATAATACAAAAAGAAAGTTTTAAACCTTTTAACATTTGCTGTCCTCATTCATCTTTGCCAAGGGGCAACAACAATCGCAGCACCCCTGCACAGGTATGAAGGGGCATTTCTAGGATTTGAGGCCGTTCAGGACTTGGCCCAGACCTCTGTTGGGGGCCACTTTTCTTTGATAAGC